TATTCAGTTTATTGATTAAATTCAACAATTCTTCCTCTGAAATTGAAGCCGGTTTCACAACTGTCTCCCTGTTGATTCCCACATCTGCAGCTGCCCTGGTTTTGTTGAGGACATAGGAGTGACTTGCAGGATTCTCGCCAACCAGGATCACACTCAGGTGTGGCCGTTTATTGCCTGAGGCCACCCACTCTTCCACCTCCTGCCGTACTTCATGCTTGATCTGCTGGGCCAGTTTCCTTCCAGAAATGACCACGGCTTCATTTCTGCAGAAGGCAACAGAGTCATAAAAGCAAATAACTTGAATTTTTATAAAAAGTAAAACTCTGCCAGGTGTAAGTGGTTCATGCCTGTAATCCCAGCACTTCGGACACCGAGGTGGGAGGATGGCTTGAGCCCAGGAGTTTGAGACCAGCCTCGGCAACGTGGCGAAAGCCTGTCTCTGCTACGTAAATAAATAAATATGTCCAGCTACATATGTAGGAGGATAAAGTTGATAGAAATCATTATTATCATTAATTCGAAGCTCAGTGACTGACAGCTAGTGCTTGGTCAGGCTGAGTCTCACATCAGTCTGGCTGTTAACTGCTACGCCATCCAGCGCCCAGATCATTACTAAGTTTTCTGCAGGTTTAATTTGCAATTGTTTGACCCCTCACCATGAGGTTAAGTAGTTTTTTGTTTTTATTTTTTGAGACAAGTTTCGCTCTTCTTGCCCAGGCTGGAGTGCAATGGCGGGATCTCAGCTCACCACAACCTCCGCCTCCCAGGTTCAAGCGATTCTCCTGCCTCAGACTCCAGAGTAGCTGGGATTACAGGTGCCCACCACCACGCCCACTCTGAGCCCAGCTAGTTTTTTGTATTTTCAACAGAGAAGGGGTTTCATCATATTCACCAGGCTGGTCTTGAAACGCCTGACCTCAGTTGATCTACCCGCCTCTGCCTCCCAAAGTGCTGGGATTACAGACATGAGCCACCATGCCCGGTCCAAATAGTTTTTATCTGCTTATATGCCATCTGTAGTTTGTGTTTTGCCCCAGCTGTTAGCAGCCAGGTGTGTATTTGAAATTATTTCCCAGCCAATTGACTTTATTTTTATGGTGCTTTTTAAATAGATAAATTATATTCTGTAGTTAAATAAATAAACAATATAGGCTGGGTGTGGTGGCTCACGCCTGTAATCACAGCACTTTGGGAGGCCAAAGCAGGTGGATTGCTTGAGGTCAGGAGTTCGAGCCTGGCCAACAAGGCGAAACCACTTCTGTACTAAAAATACAAAAATCAGCCAGGCATGGTGGCACGCGCCTGTACTCCCAGCTACTCGAGGCTGAGGCAGAAGAATTGCTTTAACCCAGGAGGCAGAGGTTGCATCGAGCTAATATCGCCCTACTGCACTCCAGCCTGAGTGACAGGGTGAGACTCCATCTCAAAAAAAAAAATGAAATAAAATAATATAGATAAGCATATCTTCCTTAAGTAAAATCCCATAAAAACAAGTCTTTCCCTTTAGATCTCTGTCCTTGGTGTCATGAGGACTGCTCTAATCTCAAGAACAATGAAGCAATTTCCCCTTGTACTCTCAAACCTAACATCAAGGTACTGAATATCCTGTAGGGTAAGATAAAATTAATTCTCAAGATAACTGCTAATTTATTTTATTTTATTTTTTGATACGGACTCTTGCTCTGTCACCCAGGCTGGAGTGCAGTGGCGTGATCTCAGCTCACTGCAGCCTCCATCTCCCAGGTTCAAGCAATTCTCCAGCCTCTGCCTCTGGAGTAGCTGGGAATACAGGCACCCACCACTGCACCTGGCCGGTAACTGCTAATTTAAATGGGATTTTAAGGCTTGCAAAATCTTTGGGCCTTCAAGTGCTTTTTATTGCATTATGATTAAATACCAACTTTAAACCAAATCTCAACATCTTGGATATAATGCAATAATCTTATATCTAAACTTTATCTTAATCGGTACTGCATCTTGTGAAGTATTGAGAAAATTATCAGCCGAGCGAGGTGGCCCATGCCTGTAATCCCAGCACTTTGGGAGGCTGAGGCGGGTGAATCACAAGGTCAAGAGTTTGAGACCAGCCTGGCCAACACGGTGAAACCCTGTCTCTACTAAAAATACACAAATTAGCTGGACATGGTGGCACGCGCCTGTAATCCCAACTACTCAGGAGGCTGAGGCAGGAGCATCACTTGAACCCAAGAAGTGGAGGTTGCAGTGAGCTGAAACCGTGCCATTGCACTCCAGCCTGGGCGACAGAGAGACTCCATCTCAAAAAAAAAAAATTATCATAATCTGGCCAGCCATGGTTGCTCAGGCCTGTACTCCCACCACTTTGGGAGGCCAAGGCTGGCAGATCACCTGAGGTCAGGAGTTTGAGACCAGCCTGGCCAACATGGTGAAACGCCGTCTCTACTAAAAACACAAAAATTAGCCAGGCATGGTGGCAGGAGCCTGTAATTGTAATCTCAGCTACTCAGGAGCTGAGGTAGGAGAATATCTTGAACCCAGGAGGCAGAGGTTGCAGTTAGCCAAGATCGCGCCACTGTACTCCGGCCTGAGTGACAGAGCGAAACTCTATCTCAAAAAAAAGACAAAAGTTACTATAATCTTATAGCAAATCAAACACTTTTACCCAGATTTTACATAATGATACTAGCATGGCACAACATATAACAACATTTAATTTATACCCATGGTATATGAAGAAATTGAAAACATTAATATTCACAATTCCATTTCAGAATTAAGAGTTGAAGAGGACTTCCTTAAAAGGGTTTTGCTGATACAAATACACCTGGCAACATTCCTGATTTATATTAGTACCTGGAATGCCCACTCTAGGCCAAAAATACATTCCCAATCATGGAATACTACAGAGTGAGAGACTACTTTAAAAGGGCTTATAACAGTCATTTATATTGAATGAAATTACATATGTAATGTGCCAGGAATATATGTTCAATAAAACTAATTTCTTAGTCTTTTCCCTTGGTTTTATATACATATATACATACACATACACACGTATCCTTAAAATATAATAGATACACATACTCATAAGGAGATATATATACTATATGTATATATACTCAGTGAGAATGACTTAGCCTGCACCTCACAAAAAGTTTCTTTTGAAAGCAGTAAACTTAGAGAAAATGGTATTAGCACATTCAGATAAAATCATATACTAAATTTAAGAACACGGGGTTCTGGGAAAAGCCAGAGTTCCAAGTCCCAGACTTTGCTTCCAAAAGCAGGTTCTGGCTGTTATGCCAATTTTCTTTTTTTTAAAAAAAAGAAAGTCAAAATGTAACAAGAACAAAAAACAAAGCCACATACAATGAATATCTTTCATAGTGTAACTGTCAGCCCTCCTCTGCTTCCCACAGCTCTGAAAAATGTGAAACACAGCCTTGGGAGTAAGTCATTAACTAACTTAGCATCATCTCTGTTGCCAAGGGGCAGATTAACTGGTAACCCAAAATAAACAGGGAGATGGAGACTCAGCTAAGTCCCATAGGGAATCCAAAATTGTAACTATATTAGCTAACATTTATCCCAGAATGAAATGGGTTCACAGATGTGTTTAGAAAAAATTCCCAGGGCTGGGCATGGTGGCACAGGTCTGTAATCCCAGCACTTTGGGAGGTAAAGTTCAAGACTAGCATGAGCAACATGGCGAGACCCTGTGTCTTCTAAAAGTTAAAAAA